GAAAGAAAGAAAGAAAGAAAGAAAGAAAGAAAGAAAGAGAAAGAAAGAAAGAAAGAGAGAGAAAGAAAGAGAGAGAAAGAAAGAGAGAGAAAGAAAGAAAGGAAAGAAAGATAAACAGTAACCACAAGCAAAGCAACACAAAATAACAAAGATCTCATCTTACCATTGCTTAGAGGATAGGTCTTTCTTCTTTGACAGGTTTGCAATTGTGACTGCAATATAGTCACCTGCAATGCACAAGCAGAGAGGAAGAACTGGCAACAGGAATCGGAACTCCTTGTGACCCAGACAGCTGAAAATTATTACAAAACATTATTCTCGCAATATGGAAATTGTTGCTAAAGATCACTATAACACACACAAACACCTTCCAATGACACACACACACACACAAATAAATAATCATCTATTACCTATACACAAAAATTGACCAGACGCAAAGGGGCAACAGATCCTTGTGTCTCCTCGAATGACACACTGCCCCTAAGAGAAAGGGCACAATATGAATAGTCAAAGTGGCAGGAAGGCCTTGCGTCAGGTACCAGTGCCAAGGGTGGGTGCCGTAGTGTGCTGCCAATCCGGATGCAATGTTGAAGTGGACGAAGCGCCATGGGACGACCACAAGCTGTCCATAATACCAGGAGTCTAAGCCAACTGATAGGACCAAGACAGCAAGTCTGGAAACAAAAGTTGGTAAGATGGTTTGGGTAAGGGTTAGAACTCGGTCACTTTGAAAGAGCTTCTGAAACAGGTTAAACAAAATTGTGCACACACACACACACACACACACACACATTTCTCTTTGATAAATAACAATAAACATGACGATAAAGAGATATATAAAATGATAAACTAAAGGCATGAGAGAAAGAAAGACAAATTAAAAAGATACTCTGGACAGTTGATAATTACAAAAATTCTTATACAATATCACAGTATATCAAAACAACATAAATCATATCACAAGACAATCCTTATCAAAACAATACGGCAATACCAAACTCACATAATATATATCACAAGACAAACTTTATTAAAATACAGCTATACCAAACTCACACGATAGCTATGAACTTGACTGTGAGCCAAAGTCGACTATTTGAGGCCCACACATGATGCAAACACAGAGGGACAAAAAGGACCGCAGATGTCGGTCGCAATATGCAGGAGATGCCAACGAGCCACAGGTAACTAACGCTGCAACTCTCTGAAAAGTAAATGGGATTATCTTTTCAGGAAAATGATTGTTCTTTCTGTGGAATAGTGACTAATCTACAATATTTTTCAAACGTATCTGTAATTACTATTTTTAAACTTCAAATATAAAATAGACTACATTTTTAAAAATATTATAATAATAAGCGATATCATATTCCCTGCTAAGAATAATAATGGTAATAATACTAGCAATGTTAACAGTACTATTATTACTTTTAATAATAATAACAATAATAATGATGATAATAATAATAAAAATAATAATGATGATAATAATGATGATAATAATAATGAGAATAATAATGATGATAATAACAATAACTACAATAATGATTACTAACAATAACAATGATAATAATAAAGTCAACAGTATAAGAGTCAATGCAAGCAATAATAAAAACAATTATATTATTACTGATAAAACTAACACACAACATACAAATATTCCTATCTGTTCTCATATAACTGTAAACACACAAATTACCTCTTTTGCTTTTCCATGGATAAAACCAGAGGGCAACAGATGTCAAAACCATTTCCACGCATGAGGTGAGAGTTCGAGGGGCGCAGTACTCCAAGAACCAGGATGACATCAGGCACACATGGGTCCAATGAGCTGCATCCTTGTTGTAAAGTTTCCGGGACAGTTTCCAAGTGAAGAAATCTCCAACAGCAAATGCACCAGCATGAAGAACTCTTGGAAGGTGAATCTGGTGGGGAAGGAGGCTTTCTCAAGTCTTTGGTTTGTAATTTCTATGTATATGTATTACATATACATATATCAACATATGGTTTGACACTATTTGGAGTACTACATTTGTGGCTGACTTGCACCTATAACTAAAAATGGGCAATCATGCATGGGCCATTAAAGTGACTTTGTCACTGGAAAACTATAAAGGAGAGAGATGTATAGTTTCTAAATCATCAACAGCATATGTAGTATGAATCTTGTTTTAACAATGTCATTCAAGAAATCTTGTTAATCTGTACTCTACAGTACAAGATGCTCAATCATCTGATAGAATACAAAATGTAAGCTGATAGGTCAAAAGTAGCTCAGGTGTTCTCTCTCTCTATTTCTGTCTCTCTCTCTAAAATACAGTCAGTTTAGAGTGACATTTTTCAAATATATTTCAGTGATATTTTTCATGAAGCTAAACTTAATGCATTTGACATGGCTATGAAGAACAAATGAGAAAGAATTCAGTTTCTAAATTCAATCAAATTACCAGGATCCTGTTTTTATTCTTCTCTTTAGCCAGAGAGCATTAAGAGATGCTACCTCAATGAGATCCACATTGAACTAATCATGGAAGCAATGCATCCAGAATCACCCACATGTAAAATAAACAGATCTGTCAGCCACAAAATTAGTGCAGTAAAACCACTGGATCTGGGTGACATAACCATCATGTCATGAAAAAATTGGCTACAACCTGGGTGATGGGAAACTGACGTCGAGAAAATCTGGCTGGCGGTTGGGGTAACATGAATCAAACATAAAAAATTTGGTTGATGAAAATGACTTGTCATGAGTGTACAAAGCTCATGAAAGAAGATTTGGCTTTTGAATTATTTCCACTGGGAAACGAGGGTGAAATATATAATCTGTGAGCCATGAGTGGAAGAACACCAGGGAAAACACAATCTCTAGCTTAGGGCCCTATTTGTGTTAGAGTAAAAGGAATAATACAAAAATATTAAAAAATTAACTAACAAAATATTATATATTGTTATTGTTACTGCATAGAGTTATACACTACAGAGAGCATCTATTATAATCTTGATATAGCATATCAAATGACAAATAAAGACTGGAAAATGTCAAAAAAGCAAAAAAAAACTTATACAGAAAAAGAAAAAAGTTACATTACAAAGGAGAGGCTTGGTGTCTTGACACCATACATGAATGTTTGTGTGGACTGGGCACATGAGCCTCAAATCCTTGAGAGTAGCCACTCAAGTAAGCCTAATACACGGCATTTGGGCCACATGCAGGCCACGAGACACCTCAATCCAATGGGCTATAGTAATAAGAATAAAAATAAAACATTTTTGGTGAAAATTTAAGAAATAGAGTAAAAGGTGAAGCCAGGTAAGCCCAGTTAATCACTCTAACGTGACCAATTGCTTGTGGAGCCATCTATGTATAAAAACAAACTGAATTCCTGGCACCAGTGGACTAATTCTAGACGTAAGTAGGAAATAAAACTTACCAGTAACAGAGGATAATCCAAATTGAAAATAGCCAAGACCTTGTACAAGCAGGCGAAGACGCTGGGATACAGGATGCTCCGAAGACCTACCCTCCATTCCCAGGTGAGGTAACCATACCTGTGTGAGGTAAATTAATCAATTGGTTAGTGCACTGATGGATGGAAAAAGAAGCAAGAGGTAAGCAGAACAAAGAAAAATTAAGAAAACAAGAACAAAGAAGAATGGAAAAGAATGAAGGAGGAGGAGGTGGAAAAGAAGAAGAAGAAGAAGAAAGAGTATGGAAAAAAAAGAAATGAAGGAAGGATAAAAAAGAAAGAAAGAAAGAAAAAATAAAATAAATAAATAAAAAAAAGGGTATGCAAAAAAGGAAGAATCCCAGCTAAAACGTTTAAAAAGTTTATAATGAAATTATTTTATTAAAATAATGATGACAAAGACAGCAAACCTGAAAATCATTTAATTTAGCTCTTTTTTTGGGGAGAAAGAGACGAAGAAGGAAAAGACAATGATCGAAGAAAGAAGAAAAAACTTAGATGAAGAGGAAGAAGAGAGAAGAATATAAGAAAAATGAGAAAAATATATGTCAAGATGATATGAAAATAAAAAGAAATAAAAATTATATTATAAGCTACTACCAAATTCACAAATAAGATGCATACACACCCAAAAGCAAGGTTATGGGCAACCTCGGTAGCCTGCCAGTATTCATCTGCAACAAACCACGTCTGTACAAGGAAAACGCTTGACAGCCTCACCAACAGGAAGGTCATCAAAGGTCTTGGAATCATTTTCTAGCCTGTGAACAAGAACAAAATAAATAACTATCCCTATGTTCACATTTATTATATATATCAAATCCTCCCGTCTAACCCCCTAAATTACATATACAAATATTCATCCAACAACCTCTCTCTTGCATCATGCTTTCAAATCCAGTGTGAATTTCAATATCTGCAAGGCCAGACATAAGAACTTCTTCAAATGTTTGGTGGCTTTGAAGCTGACACAAAGCCAGTAGGATAAAGAGTAGTAATAAGGGGGGAGAGGGTAGACCATGAGGAAGACTGAGCAGTAAGAGATGCAGCGGAGAAAGTTGGGAGAGAGGATAGGTTGCATTCTGAGGGTATTCACGTTGACAAATGCAGAAAAGGTATGACTGAGAATGAATACTTTCACTATACAAGATATGTATTTGACAATTTTCGAACTATCTTCTTCATGTATTTCTGATGAAGATAATTTGAAACTGGTCAAACAGTGGATAGTGGGTTTGGGTGATGGGAGTGAGTAATGAGTGTGGGTAATGTCCATGTTATTGGTGATTGTTCGGATTTGTGTATTTTTGTTTGTTTGTGTAGTTTAGTGTTTTAGTTATTTCTTTATTGTTTGTTTATGTATTTGCCTCTGGTGTACCTTTCAAGTTGATTGTGTTTCCTTCTGTGTTTTGTGTTTGCTGTCTTGGGAATGTTTTTTGTCCTGAAGTAATATTTTGTGTTAGTGATATAGTTTATTTATCTATTGAAAAATTTCTGCTGCGTCAACATCCAAGGTATTAGCGGTGTATACAAAATATAGCCATAGGGCGAGGCTTGGGGGCATAGCCCCCAGGTAAGAAAAGGTCATACAGAATTATGAAAAAGTATTGTGCCAAAAAGGTTACAAATGGGTTCACAATTAGGACAAAATAGTTACATGTCAAAGGTTGTAAAGCGCTTTAGGTCAATATGGTAGTGAAAAGGGTAAAGCAGTAATAACAAACGGAGTACAAAGGCCGTTCAGGACTGACACACAGCCAGCCTTACATCCTTTCAGCATGGCTCTCACACTTTAGGATGTGGACAGAAGCGGATGAGGAGAAGGAAAAGGAAAGGTGGAGAAAAAAAGACCATGTAAAATTTGTTGAAGCGAGGGCTGAGGTCCAAGCTGGGGTGATACCGCACACTGAACCTCAGTCACTGTCTCATAAGCCCCACTATGACAATAACGGGGGAGTTAGTGAAGCAGGCATAAAGTGTTAGAAGTTAGAGAACAATATCAATTTTCATTTAGGTCTAGTTTAGTTTTTTATTTGGTTGGGTTGGTGGTTAAAAAATGGCAAAAAAATCTGTCTAACAAGAATGCTGTGCACAGTAACAGCATGTGGTGGCCAATGGCCAATCAAAATGCTTCACTGCAGAATATGTTTCCCTAATGTTGCCGGTTCAAAGCACTATATCCACTGTCATTTTTTTTCATTTTACCCCAAGTTCCCTGGTAACTTTCATGCCCTCACCTGCTATCAGGGCCCAGCCTGTCGCTAATGGGGGGGTTTCCACGCAATACAATCTAAATATCTGCATTGCAGAGGGTTAGAGGAATCCACTGATATCTGAATCGTCGTGATCCGTTTGGCGGAACTATTATGAAAAATTGTCCTATTACATTTTGGTTTGAACTTACTTGAGAGATAGGTTCAGTGTTCTAATTCGTTACTCGTTAAAACTGCATGAAGTTCTTTCCGGCTTCTTCATTCGGATGTTGCATGAAGGGTGGATTGCCTTCACTATCACTGTTGATGTTTTTACGTCTTCTGTTATTTAGGGCTTCGTAGTCCATTTGTTCAGGTGTACTAGGACTCTCTTCTGTTCCAGGGGTGATTATAGCATCCATTTGTTCATATCACAGCACTTTTTGATCGCCTTTGCCGAAATAAATGCTTGTTCCGTGAAGGTTCAACCGAACGTCCCGGTTTGTTTTCGTTCACAGCTGATCATTGTCAACAAATCCTTCGAAGAGATGACTAAATATGCCGATATTATTTTGATTATTCGTAGTGTCATTATCATGAAAAATATTAATGTATTGTTTTGATAATAATGATAATGTTACTGAAAATATTAATGATGGTAGTGATGGCGCCAATACTACCGCTACTACTGCTACCACTATTACTACTATTAATATGTTTACCACTTCTGTTACTACAGCCACTACTACTAGTACTACTACTATTGCTACTACTATAACAAGGACAATGGTAATAATAAATAATAATAATAATAATGATGATAATATTAATGAAAATGAAGATGATAGTGGTAATAATAATATAATATTAATGATAATGATAAAAATGGTAACAATAATAAAAATGATAATGATTGCAACATATGTGTCAATTATGATGCTATTTATAATAGTGATAACAACAAGAAAACAAAAACAAAAACATAATTATAATTATAATAATGATAATATTGCTGATAATAATAATAACTCAAAGAGCGCATGCCTCCGCCAAGGCAAAAGGGCCACTAATGCAATAAAACTGTTCATACTTGAAGATTTACATTACGGTGACGTCCGTAAACATAACCTCCTTAGTGTAGATAATAAAAATAATGATAATACCACACCACCAAAATTTAATGGTGTCTAAATTGGACTAAGATACACCTCTAGTAAAAAATTGTTCATAACTTTTTGAGTTATCCAGCTAACCAACTAACAAACTAACCGCCGCTACCTAAAACATAACGCCCTTGGCGGAAGTAATAACACAGCTGTGATTTCCCTTCTGCAGGCCCTTCCACGCATGTCATCTCAGGAACCCAGTTAAAGGTGCTGTCACACTAGCACTTTTTCCGTTTTTTACAACTTTATTTAACATAAATACAAAAAATTCTCGAAAATAGCTCTTGATTTGACTTTGCTTGGCTGAAAAAGTTGACGGAAAGGTTTTCAAACGGAAACGATCATTATCGTCTGACTGGAAAATCGACAATTCGCTCAAAAATGGACAAAATTTCGGAAAATTGTCAAAAAATGACAGAAAAAGTGCTAGTGTGACAGCACCTCAAGCTTGACAAGACAGTAAGTTGACTGTTGGATATAATAATAATCTCAATAATTTTCAATATTTTGGGCTTAGAGAACACAGTGAAAGTTTTCTCTCGAAGAGGCCAAGAATTGTATGGAGACACGCCTTTTCCTGATGACAGACTATTGTAAAGAATATTGCTTTCCAATGAAATTTATATAATTTTCTTATAAATTATACATTCCCCTTTTGTATGCTTAATATTCCCATACACCCAAACGTCTGCATGGAAAATCGCATGCAAAAATCCGACATGGAAGTGAAGAAAATGTAACAGAGTGAGCTTCCATGACACTTGTTGTATACGATCATGGCGCTTCTTCCACCGTCTGTGTACACAAAAAAAATTCTACACGTCCTTCGGTGCTTCCATGCCGATTCCACGTCACTGTCAACTACAAAGGAGAATAGACATAGAAAGGATATTTGTGAGGGAGACACGAATAAATTGGTGGAAGTAGATGAGACGATTACTCAGGAAATGTTTCTTTCCTGATATTAAACTTTAGCATTTTCAAGATTCATTTTAGATACATAAGCATATATATATATATATATATAT